ATATTTCGTTATCATCAGATCATAGATATGAATTTCTATATTTCGAGTATCAGAAAAGTATTATTCATAACCACATATTCAAATTACATAATTCTTTTGTCAAGGGGAGTTTAATAATAATAATCATAATAATAAAACAAATGGTCGAGTATGAAAAAACTAAGAGTTCAACATGGCGAGAGCTGTCTGTTATATAATTTGCTCTACAAAGTATTGTATTGTTTATTTCTAGTAAATGAGTCCGATGGTGTACCGACGATCAAAACAGTGTTAAATTATTAATGGAGGAAGCTTGAAGCCAAAGTTACATTCCCTTGTTGTTAACATTTTTTTTATTTTTGTACTTTAAAAGGTATACGTTCACATATAGAGAGGGTTCAAATGGTCCAAAATCAGTTTGCAGATCAAATAAGTAACTTTTTATGACGAACAGATTTTTTCAATGTTTTGGATGTTATGACGGGACTTTTCTCGGTTTACCGATTTGTAATCATTACAATTGTAAAGTTAAAAGATTTAATTCTTTGTGCTGGGTCCCGGGAACAGTCGATGTCATTTTAGTTAATTGGTCAGGGGAAAATAACTGGATGGTTACGGAGTTTTTTTAATTGTACCCCATTTGCCATCAGCACCGTTCTGGCAAATGTTGTTTAGTAATAGCAGTATACCCAAAATATACATTCTTGATATTTTGAGTTTACCACAAGACAAGATATTTTGGTACGATATTTGAGTAGATAATTTTTTTTTTTTTTTTTTTGGATTTGACAAATTCAGCTAACCGATTATATTGTTCTCTTTAAATATTGACAGTTATGTTTAAGTGCCTGTTTATAATATAAGTTGTTGAATCATTTATATGAAATCATATTACAGCCAAAAACGATATACGGCAATGCAGATAACAAATCCTAAATGTGAATTTATGTATTTGTTGTTCTTTCTTCCTTCGATTGCCTTTATTATGGGATAAATAATTTATTTACGTTTGAGCGTAGCGAATTAGGAAATAAAGAGAGAAAATAAAGCTTCACTTTTTTTTATCTTTTCTTTTGTTCTGTCTTGAAATGATATGCACGTTTTTGTTTTTTGTTATTTTCGCTGTCATGATGAGCTGAATTAGTAATATATTCCAAAAAATTAACTTTTATAATACTGACTGACCGATAATTGATGATGAAAAAATGTGTATTATAGAAATGTACAATATTAAAACGACCTATTATATAAAACGACTTGCCCCGCTCTTTATGTGCCACGTGGATTAATGATTTTGTTTTCATAGTAAACACAAATATGGCAAATTGTCAAGCTTTTTTGATTTTTACATGTTTCATGACTATTTACATTTGGATGATATGCATAATATGCATATGTAACTATTTGATTAAAAAGAAGAACTACATTTTATGCAATTTTTACTTCATGCAATTAAAGACAAAAAGAACGATAAACGAGTGTGCGACAAATAGGAATTTCAAAAATAATTTAGTTGTTTATATGTTGCCCCGGCCAAATATGTATCATGATGTAACACTTTTATAACTAGATTATAAAACGGATATGCAAAATTGCCCTGTGCCTTTTTATGCAGTTTATATCATTTTAACAGCATCCGAAGTATCTATTTTAAGAAATTAAACCTTCTGCTGATAATTAAATGTACTAAACTGAAGTTTTTTTATTAAGGGGGTGGAAATATGTGTACCATTTGATGTTTGTCTAAATGGCAAATTTTCAGCTCATTCTCTTACCCCGTTTTTTTCCCCAAAATAATCATTTTTATTGTGAAAAATTACACAAACACGAAAAGAGTTGCAACACTTTTCATTCAATTCTCACTAATAATTGGCCTGACTATCAACTTTCAATTTAATATACTTTTTTGAGAATATTTTAGGATACTTTTAAGTATAAATCTAAGGTTTTTTTTCATTATCCTTTGCGCATGTTTCCATTTTATGACTTCACTTGATCGATTGTAAAACCTTCAAATTTTATGTTTTAAGGCTTTTTTCATTTCAGTGGAGTTATCAAAAGATATGTTTATGTATCATTTATTCCGCTTTTTACTATTTTCTCTCACTTTTCAAATACTAGTGTATTAGCTATGGCAATAACATCAAATTCTGATGTATGCATTTTTAATTTCATGCTAAATTCTCCTTCTGTCATCATTTTTAAGTCATATAAAACAAAAATAAATCAAATAAGATACTTCTCATAGTACAGTATTAAAGGAACATAGCGCTTCATATATGAATAATTTATTTCCTTCTGTGAAATATTAATTAAAATGTGACAATAATGGATTTAAAACATGTGAGATGTTTATAAGCTGTGAAAATAGTGCTGAATGCAACAATTAAATGAAGTATTATTGAAAAATAAAAAGGTATTCGAAATTAATATAACTATACAAGGACAAACGGTTGCTGAGCTATTTAGCCAATTAGTAAAATTTTAACAACTGTAAAAGAGCACCTAAACAACAAAGCTTTTGAGAGATAAAAATAATAGCATTTTTAAGGCGTATGGGCCTTTAAAGACGCATTATTCCTTTTTGTAATTTCAACCCACTTGAGATGCCAGCAGATTTAATCAGAATTAAATGAGTGCAACAAAAAGCAGGGACTACCTACTGCTGACAGTTATCATTGATTGACAGGTACATTTGCAGTGAATAGCATGTTTCACTGTTTACTTGTTATCAATTTGTATTAAAATGCATGAGCTTTTAGTATCAATAAATTATATCATAAAATAGACACGAAATGTACGGATCATAATAATGATGAACAAAAAAAAGTCAGAAATATTTCCATTTGATAGTGATTGGTACTATATCTTAGCAAAGGAGCATGCTTCAACAGGTTCGCTAGCATTGGGGTATTTTATCCAAATGTATTGTTTTACATTTTTTGAAATGCACTTTACTGTGAATTTATTGCAAGTGTTGTAAAAGGTAAAGTGTTACTGTTCAAAATTATCTTAATTGTAAAATTCATGCCCTATGCCCCTGCCGAGTTGCCTTTAATGGCTGGAGCTTAATAATTGCAGCCACCGTGCATCCCTGCGTGATCATAAGAGCAGACTAAATTGGTTCGAATTATGGAAGTCTAATAATCTCTGAGCTTCAGCAGTTATGGTGGTTTCTAAATGACCTGTTTAAATTTTATCGCACGTATAAATCGTGCGATTGTTTGTTAGAAAAATCAATAGTGCTACTTTCTTAAGTTGTTTAAACGATTAACATTATTGTTATTTATCCATTATTTAAAAAAAAAACATTATTAAACACACGTCTGAACTTTCTAAAGAATTTGAAAAATAAAATGGATTCCTAAGGCATAATGTGCCTTTCATCTTTCAAGATTTTCAGATGAAATTCATGCAGTTTTCTCCTTGATTAACATTACTGCACTCATAGATATTTTTGTTGATTGGTAGTATTTGATTTAAAAGCAATGTAAATTTTGTGCTTAACAATTTTGAAAACGTATGTTTGCACCTTGGTATAATGTTCTTCATTGTGATGATGAAATGATGATGTATTTTCTATTTACAATGTATAATGCTTGAAGTAATGTGATTTAATTTGTTGTTATTTTTGCACCTGACAAAGAACAAAAACCCACAAGACAACGCAGCCCCGACACCATACAGCCACACAAGCAGGGGGACGTTTTGTCTTAATGTGTATGTTTAAAATAAGAACAACGAGAGAGCTTTCCTTTGACAGTTTCATGAACAAAACAGCCCTCTGTCTTTCTAAATTATAAAAGAAATGTGACACGTATGATTCTGCAAATACAAAATGTATACTACACAATCATAGGAAAATAATTCAATAATGTAAACGCTATGGTTTTTAATGCTGTTTTGGATGGAGGGTGGGTTGGCATTTATTGGGTTGGGAAATGTGTCACATAACAGTTGAAGAAACAAAAATGAATTATGCCAACACAGAATAAGATAATTAAGATAATTACGTAAGGGCTAAAAAATGTCAAGTTCAAAAATAAACTAAGCAAGTTGCACAATCGGTAAAGACGTCAAAAATACAATACTCCATCTTAAAGTCAAACTTATAGACGTCTATCAAGACATCAAAAATACAAACGCCATGTTTAAGTCAACCTTATTTGCGCTCTGTCATATACAACGCGAATATTTTATTACGTTGGGGTAGTAAATACAAATTATTTCAAAAATTGTTTCTAATTGCATCAGACAATGCTTTTACATATAATTATACTTCATTTGGAATTGAATACTTTCTTTCACACAAACGTTTAATTCATATTATGTAACTTTCAAGCCGAAGCTATTCTTCTTACTTCTATAAATATAATATGTATATACATTGTATAAAACATGCGGAATTATAATTATGATACTTTGAAAATAAAAGCAATGTTTAAATAACTCACTTTTTGTGAATGAAAAAAATCCTGACTTTAAACCACAGATAATATATTTGTTACTTTATAATATGTTATAAACTTATAAATATCAATCTTGGTAAAAATAAAATCCACACACTAAACAAATGAAAGGTGTAATGAATGAAGAAACAAGTAAAAACTGTAGTTTTTTAATGTTCGTGAAGTTGGCAGCCTAGCAGCCTAGCAGCCTAGCAGCCTGAAGTTGGCAGCCTAGCAGCCTAGCAGCCTAGCAGCCTGGCAGCCTAGCAGCCTAGCAGCCTAGCAGCCTAAAGAAAACTAAGAATAGTACATACATGAAAACCGTCTGAAATACATTAGTAGCACTTCTTTAGATCATTCCACGTCTTTTTTCAGTATCTCCAACTTAATTTTTTTAAATATTGAACTTTGCTTTTTTTTTTTTTCCTCTTCGAAATTTGAGCAGCCTGGCAGCCTAAATAAAACTAAGAATAGTACAAACATGAAAACCGTTGGAAATACATTAGCAGCACTTCTTTAGATCATTCCACGCCTTTTTCAATATCGTGATCTTTATTTTTTAAGATGTTGAACTTTATCGTAACATATTTTTTTCATTCTGACGCTTCGAAATTTGAAGTTAGCAGCCTAGCAGCCTAGCAGCCTAGCAGCCTGGCAGCCTAGCAGCCTAGCAGCCTGGCAGCCTAACAGCCTAAAGAAAACTACGGATAATACAAACATGAAAACCGACGGAAATGAGTCGGTAGCACATACTTAGACTATTCCACGTCTTTTTTCAGTATCGCCAACTTATCTTTTTTAAATATTGAACTTTGCTTTTTTTCTTTACTCTTCGAAATTTGTGAAGCTATCAGCCTAACAACCTGGCAGCCTAGCAGCCTGGCAGCCTAGCAGCCTAGCAGCCTGGCAGCCTAGCAGCCTAGCAGCCTGGCAGCCTAAAGAAAACTACGGATAATACAAACATGAAAACCGACGGAAATGAGTCGGTAGCACATACTTAGACTATTCCACGTCTTTTTTCAGTATCGCCAACTTAATTTTTTTAAATATTGAACTTTGCTTTTTTTTTTATTTTACTCTTCGAAATTTGAGCAGCCTAGCAGCCTAGCAGCCTGGCAGCCTAAATAAAACTAAGAATAGTACAAACATGAAAACCGTCGGAAATACATTAGCAGCACTTCTTTAGATCATTCCACGCCTTTTTCAATATCGTGATCTTTATTTTTTAAGATGTTGAACTTTATCGTAACATATTTTTTTCATTCTGACGCTTCGAAATTTGAAGTTAGCAGCCTAGCAGCCTAGGAGCCTAGCAGCCTAGCAGCCTAAAGAAAAGTACGGATAATTCAAACATGAAAACCGACGGAAATGAGTCGGTAGCACATTCTTAGACTATTCCACGTCTTTTTTCAGTATCGCCAACTTATCTTTTTTAAATATTGAACTTTGCTTTTTTTCTTTACTCTTCGAAATTTGTGAAGCTATCAGCCTAACAACCTGGCAGCCTAGCAGCCTAGCAGCCTAGCAGCCTGGCAGCCTAGCAGCCTAGCAGCCTGGCAGCCTAAAGAAAACTACGGATAATACAAACATGAAAACCGACGGAAATGAGTCGGTAGCACATACTTAGACTATTCCACGTCTTTTTTCAGTATCGCCAACTTAATTTTTTTAAATATTGAACTTTGCTTTTTTTTTTATTTTACTCTTCGAAATTTGAGCAGCCTAGCAGCCTAGCAGCCTGGCAGCCTAAATAAAACTAAGAATAGTACAAACATGAAAACCGTCGGAAATACATTAGCAGCACTTCTTTAGATCATTCCACGCCTTTTTCAATATCGTGATCTTTATTTTTTAAGATGTTGAACTTTATCGTAACATATTTTTTTCATTCTGACGCTTCGAAATTTGAAGTTAGCAGCCTAGCAGCCTAGCAGCCTAGCAGCCTGGCAGCCTAGCAGCCTAGCAGCCTGGCAGCCTAACAGCCTAAAGAAAACTACGGATAATACAAACATGAAAACCGACGGAAATGAGTCGGTAGCACATACTTAGACTATTCCACGTCTTTTTTCAGTATCGCCAACTTATCTTTTTTAAATATTGAACTTTGCTTTTTTTCTTTACTCTTCGAAATTTGTGAAGCTATCAGCCTAACAACCTGGCAGCCTAGCAGCCTGGCAGCCTAGCAGCCTAGCAGCCTAGCAGCCTGGCAGCCTAGCAGCCTAGCAGCCTGGCAGCCTAAAGAAAACTACGGATAATACAAACATGAAAACCGACGGAAATGAGTCGGTAGCACATACTTAGACTATTCCACGTCTTTTTTCAGTATCGCCAACTTAATTTTTTTAAATATTGAACTTTGCTTTTTTTTTATTTTACTCTTCGAAATTTGAGCAGCCTAGCAGCCTAGCAGCCTGGCAGCCTAAATAAAACTAAGAATAGTACAAACATGAAAACCGTCGGAAATACATTAGCAGCACTTCTTTAGATCATTCCACGCCTTTTTCAATATCGTGATCTTTATTTTTTAAGATGTTGAACTTTATCGTAACATATTTTTTTCATTCTGACGTTAATAAATTTGAAGTTAGCAGCCAAGCAGCCTAGCAGCCTGGCAGCCTAGCAGCCTGGCAGCCTAACAGCCTAAAGAAAACTACGGATAATACAAACATGAAAACCGACGGAAATGAGTTGGTAGCACATACTTAGACTAATCCACGTCTTTTTTCAGTATCGCCAACTTAATTTTTTAAATATTGAACTTTGCTTTTTTTTTATTTACTCTTCGAAATTTGAGCAGCCTAGCAGCCTAGCAGCCTGGCAGCCTAAATAAAACTAAGAATAGTACAAGCATGAAAACCGTCGGAAATACATTAGTAGCACTTCTTTAGATCATTCCACGCCTTTTTCATTATCGTGATCTTTATTTTTTAAGATGTTGAACTTTATCGTAACATATTTTTTTCATTCTGACGCTTCGAAATTTGAAGTTAGCAGCCTAGCAGCCTAGCAGCCTGGCAGCCTAGCAGCCTAGCAGCCTGGCAGCCTGGCAGCCTAACAGCCTAAAGAAAACTACGGATAATACAAATATGAAAACCGACGGAAATGAGTCGGTAGCACATACTTAGACTATTCCACGTCTTTTTTCAGTATCTCCAACTTAATTTTTTTTAAATATTGAACTTTGCTTTTTTTTTATTTACTCTTCGAAATTTGAGCAGCCTAGCAGCCTGGCAGCCTAAATAAAACTAAGAATAGTACAAGCATGAAAACCGTCGGAAATACATTAGCAGCACTTCTTTAGATCATTCCACGTCTTTTTCAATATCCTGATCTTTATTTTTTAAGATGTTGAACTTTATCGTAACATATTTTTTTCATTCTGACGCTTCGAAATTTGAAGTTAGCAGCCTAGCAGCCTAACAGCCTAAAGAAAACTAAGGATAATACAAACATGAAAACCGCCGGAAATGAGTCGGTAGCACATACTTAGACTATTCCACGTCTTTTTTCAGTATCGCGAACTTAATTCTTTTAAATATTGAACTTTGTTGTTTTTTTTTGCTTTTTTTTACTCTTCGAAATTTGTGAAGCTAGCAGCATAACAGCCTAGCAGCCTGGCAGCCTAGCAGCCTGACAGCCTATCAGCCTGGTAGCCTTGCAGCCTAGCAGCCTGGCAGCCTGGCAGCCTGTTAGCCTAACAGCCTGTTAGCCTAACAGCTTAGCAGCCTAACAGCCTAAAGGAAACTAAGGATAATACAAACATGAAAACCGTCGGAAATGAATCGGTAGAACATACTGAGACCATTTCACGTTTTATTTCAGTATCGCGATCTTCATTCTTTTAAATATTGAACTTTATTTTTTTTTTCATTCTGATGCTTTGTAATTTGCGGGATTTAACATGATTTCGAATAACGTAGGAAGTAGTCTAAGTCTTGGAACTTTTTCTCGGCTACTAATGTCGCTGTCTATGGACAATAAGTGACGTCATCTGAGTTATTTATGATATGCTATTTTGTATGGATATGTTTATAATGAAGTTGACGATGTTTAAAGCATATTTATTTAAGGTCTGTTAAGATAAAAATGTGTTGAAATGTAAAGAGATATATAATGCATATGTTTAAACGAACACAAAAATGAACATAAAGATTATCTGAACTTAAGAACAATACCCGTACGACACATCAAAATAATGGGGCGGTGTTGCATGCCTCTGTAATTGTTATGCTGATAATTTCACATCATATTATACATGTATATAATTTTCATTTTCCTCGATAAATGTTACTCACGTAAGTGCGTTACGCAAACTACGCACCGGGTTAGGCTCTCGTGTTTTCAGCAAAAAAGTGAAAGAAAAAAAAACAACAACAAAAAAAAAAAAACAAAAAAAAAACATGTATTAAATACATGTTGTTTTCATGGATCTATTAAAGATGTTTAAAAGGTGATTGCTCCATATATGAATATTTAATTCCTTTACTCTGACTCCAGTTTATAGACTTATTCGTCACCGTTTTCCGGTATGTTACGGGTTTACCTCTACACCAAATAAAGTATATACCACTATATATTTACTTTTCTATCATTATTTCGCCGTTTAAGGTGAAAAAAACTTGTCGTGTTTGAAAGTTATCAATGTTTTTATTAAAATTGAATTCTTTAAATTGAAATTCAATGAAATTAAAACAGTCGTAGTGGCATCTTCAATAATAAATAACGAGAAAACGTGATTAAACTTATTCATTTTACTTTATTTTTGTAAGGAAATATTCCTAAAATGATATTAAATTATTTTCCTGCATAGTAGTATCTGTTAATTCAATAACTACCAAAAACGAAGATTTTGTTATTACACTCCATTAGCGGAATTTCCAACAGGAATGTAAAGAAAGTACCGGAAAACGGCGTTAAGCTATGTTTTTGAATTCGTGAATGTTTGCCGTTAAAGGAATTTAATTTAAACTAAATGTTAGAAAATTTCTATAGGCTATTAATTTACGAAATGCATTTTTTTTATTATTCATGCTATTTTGCAATCAATCTTCACCTCTTCGTCTATATAAGAAGATTCGCGGATCTTCATCTAAATATGAAGATGCATGAAGTACAGTAAACATTGAGAAAAACTCGTAAAAAAAATAGCCCAGTAGGAGTGCAAAATCTACACCATGAGACATACTCGACAGAGAACCAGTCCACCTCCAGTATATCGGGGACCAATCGGGAAGTCCTCGGCTATTATCTATAATAATATCAAAGGGCCGAAAAGTTGCGATTGATCGGTCTACCTCCTGAAATTGGAGAAGAGCCAAGTTGGGTATGTAATGCGATAGTTAAGCCGAATACACAAAGATGATGGAGACTATGGTTTATTAAGCGTTAAAATTGCGACACATTTAAGGTAATTATTTATAATTATGCATTTTTGTTATTTTCAAAGACATAGATAACAGAGATAGGCAACTTCCTAGCCAGTTAATATATCACGCGTACCTAACTTGTAGCAAGTAAAACTTATTAATCAGTAAAGTAATACATTTTCTGAAAGCTGATGCATAATTTTGTCTCTGGCTGCAGGTTAAAATATTTACAGTTCCCACTCATATAAATGTTACATCATTTTTTTAAAGAGAACTACATACTAATTTTTGTTACATAACTATTCATATGACGAATAAACTGGCTCAGTGGGTATGTTCTGCTATGTTTTTCTAAGCGAACGCTGGGACATAAGAAAAAAATATGATATTAAAGGATCAAATCCATTAAGTTTTTTTTCACTTTTTGATAGACATAAGTGATATTTAAATGGAGAGTATAGGAGCTGCTTATCTCTGTTATATATGTCTCTGCTATTTTCTATTATAATTGTTGCAATTGGACATTATACCAGTTCATGATTTTTGTCTACAAGTAAGCAGAAATATACGGTGGCACAAAGGTGACATGTGTGTGTTTTGATTTATCTCGTGCGCACGAGATGTTACTAAGTCGTGGCCACGAGATAGATAAGTCGTGGACACGAGATACACGAGATAAAATTAAACAATATAATAAAAAAAATATAATCTGTAAAAAATCAAAATGAGGTATCATTATGTTAAGTTAAAGTTTAGTACGTATTTACAAAAATAGATTGGTCTCGCGCGGCGTAAAAACGTAGTAATAAATTTTTACCGACTTAGTGTTTTAAATTATTTTTTGGATGCTCTTTACATGTCTCCGCCCTATTTCGTCACACTACCCGATATCGTCTGATCTTTCAGCGCTTTATGCATATAAGAATCACTTAAATCGTGAAGGTCAAGGGTTATAACACATACTGTTTATAGTTATGATGTTTTTAAGGACTCATGATGAAGAATTGTTTTTGCTGCTTTAACAAATAAAATTAAAATCGTCTACGGACGAGTAATTTGTTAGAACAAAGTTAAGTATCTGTCCAGCATTACCTTGTTTTCATTGTTTCTCTTTGAAATGTAGGCATAAATGTAAAACATTTTCTCATTTTTATTCAAAATCTCACAGCAGCTTTTTGGCCCTTTTTATTTTGATTATAATTCAGTACCATTAAGAAATTTTATATATAAAAAAAAAAAAATTTCCCAACATTTTCCATGTGGTCTGAAAATATATTGTTCAAAGTATTGATTTACCTGAAATGAGCTCTCAGTTATTGCAAATGGGCATTCAAGCTAGCATTCCCAAGGTGTTGTTTATTTCTAAATGTCTAAAGTTCTCTAAGGTAACTTTTAACAACATGCAAAACTTCAAAACATATACATGTCAATCGCAATAGCAGTAATACATAGTGATTGCTACATATCTGGTTCGTCTATTACCCAAAGTCAGGGAAATATTTACTTTTTTAAAGTTGTCCGCAAATATGGGTAGATTAAGGGTCATGTATAACAGAAAACAATCTTAGCTGTGATAATTATAATTAAGTATTTTTTTCACTCATCACTTAAATATTTACAGATAGAAGCCGTATATTCATAAACGATTCATACTTCAGGCAACGAATGTGACTAGGTCTACATTTTTAAATAAAATAAGAAAAGAAAAAATGATTTTTTTTTCTTTAATTTTCTCTTAAAAAAATTTGATTACATCTTTTATTTGTTTACTTTTATAGATAAGTATAAAGGTCGAGTGTTGTTCCCGTACATAAGCAATATATTTTTTTTCAGTACAGAACGATTGATCTATTGAAACCACAGCAATTTGTAGAAAGAATCCTCACTCGCATCCGGTAAGCGACTGATCCTGTATGTTGTAATTAAGGGTGTGGCAACATAGTATGAGTAAATTTTTATATATGAAAATAATTATTCTTCTAAAACAATTTCCAAGCATCCAAGAATGAGTTAAATATATACTACAAATGTTAATTCGCTTATAAAAAGTCATTAACATCTTTTTATTCATTTTTTATTGAACAATTAGGGTAAGTCTTCACCGAAAATAGATTTCCGATTACCTCCCTTTATAATATGAAATGTAAATTCCGTAATATCCTTTTCATATAATGCTTTTTTGGACTTACAATATTGATAAATCTTTATTTGAGTTTCAAATTAATGATATATAACCATAAAAAATTAGTTATAGGGACTTTAAACAACTGCATTAACCCTACTAAGAAATCACAATTGAGTTCAGCGTATTTTCAACGACTTTAAACCAGATAAAATATAGTTTACATATAAATTTAACTTTAAAGTTGCTAACAAGAAGTTTTAATGTTATATCTTATCATTTCATGCGTTTGTTTTGTACAATTCAATTCAATATTTTATTTGGCATAAACATATTCAATGTTCATCGCCATTACACAACTTTAGGAACTGACAAGGAAGTCATTACCTGTTTTCGAACGTGAAATCTGAATTCAAGTGTAATTGAATAGAAATTCAAAATCACAGAATGCAAATATAATGGAATATTAATAATAGTAAGGGATTGCAATAATGCATTAACTCTATTAGATGTTTTTACAAACTAGGTTAACACCATGCGGTGTGATCAAGAGAAGTTGGCAGCTCTTCGGGTAAGGATTGAAATAATGCGAAAAAGGAAACAAAACTACCAGAAAGAATCACAAATTGCAGTTGATAAAAAATCTCAGCAGATAAAAGGTATTTTTATTTGTCACTTTTAATCCTTGTTAAACCATTTTCGCAAGTGACAAATTTAATGCATTTGAAGTTTGAATCATATCCCAAACTACGCAAGTTACTAAAATAAAGCCACACTATCACGTGTATAATTCGTTTAATGCACATGTTTTTCAGGGAAAGTACGCATATCACTTATAAATATCTGCCTGCCAGTCATTTTGGCCATTCAAACTGAACTTGTTCACAACCACTTTTAGAAACTTTTTACAAACGGATTTTTTTCTATGACTGCCCTTTTCACGACATTAAGCTGATAAATCTTATTTGTATAAACAACAGTTATCTCTACGGCCTTCTTCTTTTTCAAATGAGTAAATGAAAAACACAAATAAGTATTCGGTTGAGCGTGATATTATGCTCATTATTACACTAATCATCGGAAACAACTATAGATAGGCTGACAGACAGACAGACTATTATTTCGTTCATTCAAATTTAATTTTAAAATCGAATGGAATTATGACAAAATATTCGTGTGTAGAGACTTTGACATATGCATTCACTTTCCATTTTCCCATGGACGTGATGATACTTTATGTGTTCAATCATATTCCCTGTTACCAAAGAAACAGATGTATAAAGTTATCTTCTAAAAAAAAACATTCGTGCTCATTTAAAAGACAACTTAAAAGTCTTTGACAACAAAGAAGACTGCAGTAAACCATTCCTAAAATAACTAGTCGTACAATCTGATTTGAAAATGTAAGAAAATAATTGAAATGTAAAAGTAGATCAATTTACTTTTTTTGGCCACTACTATTTTCTGTCAAAATTGTTATTCTGATTTGATGTAAATGAAATTTAAACACACACTGCTTACGACTTTTAAACCGGATGCTGTAAAAAGTATATTGCCACTGATATTTTAAAGCAGCACACCTGCAGATTCATCCTGATCTTCATGAACATTTTGAAAATGTATTTTAAAGTATACTATTGTGACTTGAACAAAGAAAGTTATTGTCAAATTGCATATCAGCACTTATAATCCACGAAAATTACCAAAGAAAAAGATGTAAAGATATGCAAAAATAGCACTTACTGCGTTAGTAACGCAGTAGAAATATGGTGATAAATACTGCAAAAGTCTGTCATTAATTGTATATCAGATGAAAATTATCACGTGTATCTTTTACTGTTACTTTTCTTAAAATCTTAGTACATTTTGCCATGTTAAATTTTCTTTGAATTCATGTAAATTAAACTCGTATTATTTTTCGCTAATTGTCCCTATAATTGGCTCTAACTTGGTAATTTATCAATGAGTTATTTGCATACTTGGACAAAACAAACTTTTGGACAAGACGTTTTAAAAGATTCAAACTGATTCATAAGTAGACAAAAAACACTTGTAACCAAAAAGACATGTTGTATAATTTCGATATTACTGTGACCTTTTATGACCTGGATGAATTTGGATTATAATTTCATTTGTCATTTATTTATGGAAAAGATTTATACTTGGCCAAAAGAATAAATGTGACGAGACAGACGTCTTAGAAATTAAAGAAAGATAAAGACTTGTCTTTTTGTCTTTAATTTTCTTTACAAAGATATGTTTAAAGTGTTTATTTGTCCCGACATTGGCATTTGTAAAAACTGACTGTGAATTTGGTTAACGATTATCGCAAGTCAGATTCTTAAGCTAAAAAGAAGGAAAGTTGAGTAAACTCTCAAGAAGAATAACTGAAATTTATCAGTTCCTTTTTTAGCACAGCTTTTACGCATCTAAAAAGTAGTTACGATAATTTATATCACTAAGGAGTGATTGTTTGTAATTACTTTTTAACACCTGATCACATCACCAACGAGTTATCTTATCATTCTAAAAACTTCCCAGATAAACCATTGCTAAAAATTTGTGGTTTCCGAAGGAATATTGACCCTTATCACCAATTAAATAATGCGTGCTAAAATCTTAAAAAAGTATGATTCCTCATTTATAAGCATAAACATTAAACTACAACAACGGTTTATAATGTCAGTGTGTACATACATTATTTCTTTGTATACTAATTGTTATCTATCAGCAATATAAATGGCAAATAGTTATGTATTTCAATTTGGATTGTATTTGTTTTATTTCTAGATATAATTAACAATTTTTAAGATTTTTTTACCATTTTCATGCTTATTATTATAATTATTGTTATTAATTATAATATTAATCAGCAAAAGAAAGTAATAACAAGATTACTGTTACGGACACAGAAGTTGATGATGATGGCAGCACAACGTCCACAGAGGATTATCCTGACAAGAAAAGGAACCGTGAACAGGAGGTAAGTGTCATATCATCAGACGAAATCGATGAAAAGAGAACAGACGAAAGTAACGAAGATGACAGACAAAGTGAAGAGGCAGATGTGACGCGTTTGCCAAAGGTTTTTGATACAAGTGTTTCCGCAGAGGATTATCCTGACAAGAAAAGGAACCGTGAACAGGAGGAAAGTGTCATATCATCAGACGAAATCGATGAAAAGAGAACAGACGAAAGTAACGAAGATGACAGACAAAGTGAAGAGGCAGATATGACGCGTTTGCCAAAGGTTTTTGATACAAGTGTTTCCGCAGAGGATTATTCTGACAAGAAAAGGAACCGTGAACAGGAGGAAAGTGTCATATCATCAGACGAAATCGATGAAAAGAGAACAGACGAAAGTAACGAAGATGACAGACAAAGTGAAGAGGCAGATGTGAAGCGTTTGCCAAAGGTTTTTGATATAAGTGTTTCCGCAGAGGAGTTTGAGGAGATGCTTCCTGCAAATCAAATATCAAAACAGAAGAAACTCCAATTTGTTAAGGGTTGGACACATATCGTTGCTGATAAATTTAGTAAAGTAAACCCGGCCTGTATATTAAAGTTCAAGTATCACAAAGTGCAAGAAAAAAAGGAAAATTCTTTTAGAAACAGATGCTTCTTCTTTACGAAGGCAGAATGTAAACATGCAAATTGTGGTGTATGGACTATGAAAATCGACAAAAAGCCAAAAAGAGAAAGTCAAGTAGTTATTACGGTTACACAGACACAGCCTGTGATAAAACACAAAAAAGCTGGTAAACGGCAGTTGAGTAATACTCAAAGAAAAAAAGCACAGGAACGAATGAAAAAGGAGTCAGTGGAAAGTATTTTCTGGCAACAATATGAAGATATGCCTGAAGCTGAATTAAGAGCAGAAAACTATACCAAATGTCAGTCAGGAACAATTTTAAGAAAGGCAAAATCTGAAACTAAAACCGGAGACATTCTCCACCCAGAACCGTTTACTGAATTGGTGATTTTGAAAGAAGTTTACGACGAGGAAAACGGATATATACAGAAATTCATATGCCCCATTCATGGCCTGTCCTTTACACTGAAGGTTCTCTGAACGTCCACCAAAAAATGTTGAAACGCCATGTTCTTGGGGTTTTTCTATTTAGATGCAACTGGACACAAGTAGTAAAGAAACAGCACCAAAAAAGAGTACTATACTATTCAATGGTAATTAATGAAACCAACATGCCAGTGGTACCAATATTAGAATTCATTACTGATCATCACGCAACGAATTTTATAATACGACCATTGTTAACTTTAAAAACGGCTCTTGGACCAAAATTATTCCCACGTAGAATAGAGGTAGATTTTTCTTGGGCAATAATTCATTTAGCGTTCTTCTCACCATTTAATTACATGACAATTAATTTCAGTAATCTGGAGAGAATGCCTTGAAATTTGGGCACCGGAAAAGAACGACTGCCACTTTAAACGGTTGTGCACGTCTGCTGTGTTCCACATGATTAAGGGCAATACGGTGTAACCAATGAAAGAGAAAGTTAAAGGACGATAAATTGAAGAGAAATAATTCTAAGAATGGTGGCACTGTTGCAGAATACCTACTAGATTACGCCAAAAGCTTGTGGAATGTATGGAAAAATATTTTGTACTGTCCTCAAACAACAAGAAAAGAACAAAAAGCAGTCGAAAAAGCTGTAGGAAAGATGACGACTATGATGAGGAATGCGTCATTACAAACAGACGACAGTGACGAAGACAGCATTTTCACAGAAGGTAATTTTGATAATTTAGGACTAATTTCCTGTACAAATAAATAAAGCGTCGTCTAGCTTAAATCACTTCCTTACAAGTTAACAAGTTTGACTTCCGCTGAGTATCTTTTCAAAGATACTTCTTGTTTAGATATTGAATGAAGTAACAGGTCGATATGCAAACTCATTCGGACAAGAAGTGTATTAATTCACGCTTATTAAAAACTTCATGATGATAAACTTAACATTAATTAAAGTTGATTTGTTCCATTAACTTTGGCATTTAAAACAAAAGTAATGAACATCAAAGAAAACATGTTTGTTGAATTCATAAATTCAAAGTTTGTAAATGAATTCGTTTTGTTTCATATTATGTTTTATGTTGTTTTTGTTTGTTTTGTTTTTTCAATACAGATTTTGGTCAAAGTGGATTGATAGGAAAAGACAAGGAGGAGAAACTAGGTATTCGTGAAAGATCACCGTTTAGGGCATTATTTATCCATAACCTTGTCCAAGATGATTCAGAAGATGATGACGAAGTTCCTTAAAACATTTTTATCACATGAAGCTTATTAATTTAAACATTCACAAAACAGACTGCCATTGTATTCCTATGTGAGTGGATGTATGTTGAAGGAATTTTGGGAAAACCCGCGCTTCCCAATGCCTCCGTAGGTTTTTTGGATGAAAATCGTATAAGAAAAATGTGTTGATGGGGAAAAAAAATTTTGAGAAGTGTGAGAGTTCGTAAAGGGGACACTCAGGCCCAGTAGTCTGGGGGGTAGATTAAGAAATGTGAAAATGGAACAAGGGCACGGAAAGGGTTTAAGTTAAAGGGGAAAGAAAAGAAAGAATACCCCGCAGAAAGACATACAAAAGGCCCTGAAGAGTCTTGGGCAAAGAAGGCAAAAGGAAAGGAAAGAACAAGTTTTCTATACTCTCCAATTAAAATGGTTCCGGTACCAAAGTCAGTGAAGAAGACTAAACCAAAGGAAGCAAAAAAAAAACCAAGCTTGACAGAGGAAAAAAGAAAAGAAACAAGAGAGAAAAACCCTCCAGGGTTAGTAAACGTAGGAAACAGTTGCTGGCTGAATTCAACCCTACAGGCAGTAGCAGCTATGAAACAGTTACAGTGGGAAGGTACAGTCATTTAAATTAAACAGTTACCATGATTCTAATTGATGTGCTAATACTCACCCTATTGAGAAAGTAAGAATATAAGCATTAATTTTACACTTCCTTAATTTTGTTTAATTTTGTCACTTAATATATTTAAGGCATTCTTATGCACAGTAACACATCACTATTGATAGATTCAATGTATTTTGTGTTAAATAGGTGACGATAAAATCTCTGCTGAAACAAGAAAAGTTGTTAAACAACTTCAAAAGATTGAAGGTCAGGACCAACAGATAGATCCAAAACATTTGAGGGTATGAAATACTTGTAACTTAATTGATTATTAATTTAAAGAACAGCATATTCTTTGTGGAAGCCTAAAATAATCTTTAAACCGAATTAATAGTAACTGCAAAATAGCCACCATTAGATTACATGTATGTTTTTATTTTAAATAACTGGTATCTTACAATTAAAACAATATGAAAATCCTACGGTTCTTTATAGTTTGACAATTTTTATCATTGTTATCATTTGACAATCATTTTATTATTTTCAACAATTCATCTATTATTTGAAACCTTCACAGGTAAGTAAATCAGGTGATAGGGCCCCTTTTCTATTAAGGTTTTAAAAAGAATCGCAAAATACAGGGTTTGTTTTACTTTTTAAAAAACCGAATAAGATTTTAAAATTTACCCTTTTAGGGGTGTTTGGGAAGGGGCCCTTCATACGAAAGGGGGTAACAACGGGAAAGGGTCCCAGAGTTGTCCAGAAATTTTAAACTAAAAACCCATAAGAAAATAATAAACCTTGGAAATATACAAGAACCCTTCAAGTTGAAAATTTTGGGTAAGGTAATTTTATTTTATTATAACCCAATGATTGAAGCGATTTAAATATTTTAAAAAAAAAAATTTATCAGGAAAATGTCTTTTTTAATCTTTTTTATATTGATTTTGTGTAATTTTTATTTTGTTTTTTTTGTTTAATGAAGAAAAGGGTATTTCCCAGTTCGATGCATTTAAAAAATTTATTTTTTTTCTCACCCTTTATTTACAAAAATCTTTCAAATTTAGGGGAACAAATGCCTTTCCCCCAAAAAGACACTGATTTGGGCCCTTAATTTTGGAAAGGGTTTTGTATTTCAGGAAACTCTGTTAATGAATAAAGGGGGAAAAGGTGGTTTAAATGGGGCTTTTATTTACGGGGTTTTGTTTTTATTTTGGGGTGTTATTTAATTTTAAAGACAGTTTTGAAAATTTTTTTTCGTTTTGGATTTAAATTGAATTTCCGATTGATATCTTTTCTTGATTTGAGATTTTCAACTATTATAATTGTTTGAGATACTACACCAAACGTACTCTTTTTATAATTATTTTCGTCAACTTAATAACTTAAAGGTAACTATTGCTGAAGAAGAAACGAACTTTATCAGTGTGGAGCTGGCATCCGTCAGACCTGCTTCAGTGAGCGATTGCTTGTCAGAGTTTGGAAAAAAGGAAATATTGAGAGAGGAAGATGCTCCGTGAGTAAATAGTGTCTGTGTTAATTCAAAAATGGATTTCCTGATGAAAATACAATAAATTTTTTACAGAAGAAATACGAAAATCCGTTAAATGATCAAATAATACCCATATGACACAAACTGTCTGAAATATTTTTAAGAATTGCTTGACATGCACATTTCCGTATATACTAGCATAAATAATTTTCACTATGGTAGTATATAAGGAAACTAGTCTGTAAAGTAATTCTTGAAAATATTTTGGAAAGTTTTTGATATATACCTATGGATATTATTTGAAAAATGTATGATTAATTAAAGACACCAATACCAGTGGGATTGACTCATTTTTGAATGTCAGATTTTTTATTTTGGTATTGTGTTCAATCGATTCCATGTTTCCGGAATTGGGCGACCGTCGTTTATAAAATGTTTATGTTGCTAAAGGGTTAATTAACTGAACATGCCGTAATGATGGGTTGTCTCGCTCGTGTTGATTGAGTAAAGTGTTAATGTCACGAGCCCTTACGGCGGTTGAAATTTAGGAATTTATGCAATCAACGACAATTCATTTTATATTTAACAACTTCAATACAGCACGTCAGACGAGATAAGGCCATGACATAGTAAAACTAGTTATAATAGTATTCTCAGATTTTCGTCTCGATCATGCAATGTTCCCTATGTCTTAATTACGGTCAATTTCATGCCTTGAGATTAAACATGCAGGGCCTGTAATTGATTGTTAAAAAAGTGACTTAAGAAGTAATTCGTTTTGTTACAATGTGAATAAGTATATGCCGATATTTGTGCGTGTTCAGAATTGTGAATAAAATTGTTCACCGAAGTAAAAAGTTTCATGTATGAATACGTACAACAGCTACATCAAATATAATCTGTTGAAATGTTTGCCTGACGATGATCAAGACTTTTTTAATATTTTAAATATTATATTTTGTATTGAAAACAATTTACACTATTTTAAAACCAGGGACTTATTTTCAGATTTTGTAAAAATTGCAAGAAGAATATGACTCACTCTACACAGACGTGTATAACCAGAGCAGAAGATCTCCTTATTAACTTGAAAAGATTCAAGCTAGCGAAATCTGGAAGACACCTGAAGGATAATCGTGATATTTCGAGTAAAGAGGTAATTTTTATTTCATTGATAAATATATATATATATATATATATATATATATATATATATAATATATATATATATTATATATATATATATATATATATATATATATATATATATATAAATAAAAAAAAAACACAGTCCATGAGTTAACTTATTTAATTATTTGCCAACCGGTTTCTCTTATGATCATCAAGGCAAGTGTGACGTCGTCGCATAGTAACGACGACGTTTTTGTGTACACATGTGTACGCATAATCTAAAAATAGTAACGTCATTATATAGTATTAAGTTTTGGATTAAAAACATCAATAAAATAGCGTTCTCTAGATAACCTAGCTGAAACGTTTTTACTGTGAAATTTATAAAATGGGAAAATACAAAATTTCGGGTCTTTTTTAGACGCATTTATCTAAATGCTCACTTAAAGGTAATTGTCTGGTTGATGGGTCTCTTATCTGCTGAGCATGAACAGTTTTTCTTTGTCACAAACTCAGAAAAAGAAAAACTGTTCATGCTCAGCAGATAAGAGACCCATCAACCAGACAATTACCTTTAAGTGAGCATTTAGATAAATGCTCTAAAAAAGACCCGAAATTTTGTATTTTCCCATTTTATAAATTTCACAGTAAAAACGTTTCAGCTAGGTTATCTAGAGAACGCTATTTTATTGATGTTTTTAATCCAAAACTTAATACTATATAATGACGTTACTATTTTTAGATTATGCGTACACATGTGTACACAAAAACGTCGTCGTTACTATGCGACGACGTCACATTTGCCCTGATGATCATAAGAGAAACCGGTTGGCAAATAATTAAATAAGTTAAACTCATGGACTGTGTTTTTTGTTTTATTTATATGTGACTTTTTTCCGGCACTTGTTTTCATTTTGTATATATATATATATATATATATATATATATATATATATATATATATATATATATATATATAACATGTGATAGTAAAATATTGAGAAATATTGATGAAATAATATGTGAATTATCATTTTCCATATTTTCAATATAAAAGAAATATTTTTCACTGCAGTGAAACATGTTTGCACTATTTCACTTGTGTTTTGTTGTTTTCTTTGCTTCTAAATTCAGCCAAAACACAAAATTTTAGAGGAATTTTTTTTAATTTTAGTATCAAAAATGTATATAATAAACAGAAAATTCAAGATGTTTCATCTTGTGGTATGAAAATTACCACATTTTACACGTGGCTACCTACACTCATGAAATATTTATTCCCCATCTCTCTCTCTCTCTCTCTCTCTCTCCCTCTCTCCCCCTCTCTCTCTCTCTCTCATGATCCTGTAATTGGATATGATGTAGATTTGTTTTATTATGTCAAATTAACCAATAATTTAAATAGAAAGTGATAAACGAAACACCTTTATGTAAAATATATTTAGAATTTGAAACTAAAACAAATAAAATATATACGAAAACTGCATATTCAGTGATATACCCCTAAATCTTTCAATTTTTACTATGCTTTAGACTAAAAACTAAACTGTGCAGCAATGTTGAAAATCATCATCTTTTTAATATGGCCAGACAAAATTTACTTTTATTTATGGTTAACTTCAGTTTGTTTATTATGTCATTTTCAAACAAGAGTCATGCAGATAGCCTTAAGCTTGCATGCAAAAAGACAGATGCATAAGAAAATCCACACAAATAATTTTGCCAGGAAATGACAATGACAATTCTAACACTCACGTGATTTTGTCACTATAGACAAAGAAGGAAAAAACTGGTGTTAAACTGTCAATAAACACCGGTAAGGGACTACTTGTATATGCGCTATTATGTTTTCACCCTCGATTGTATAGTTTATAAAGCATTTTAAAGCAACAATAAAAAGCATTTTTATTTATATTTTCAGTTCGTATAATGTTTTCTTTCCATACAATACCGAAATAATATCTCACATACACTAACGCCATATATTAGCTCCATATCAGTTAATAAATATTTTGACAAAACGGCGCCAATCCGTAAGCAGCGTAATGACGTCATCCTAAGTAAACAACTCATTCATAAACAAGCTGACGTTATTTCATACATGCAAGAATGATAAATGGGGCACTGATGTAAACACAATACGACGTAAGTTTTTAATGTTGAAAACTTGATAAAATAACGTTTTTTTTTCTTATTATTTCTTTTGTTTAATAATTTCTATATCTTCACAACAGTAGGGTGTGAAAATCGAACAGCGTTATACGAAAATCGGCACCGGAAGTTATTTCCGCTTGAAAAATAACATTAGTGATTTTCCTTATTTTATCGTGTTAGAATCGAAATAACATCGTCCTGAGAGGTGTATATCGGCTATTTAACACCGGTTTTGTCGTTTTGATGCGACAAAATTAACCACTCAGGTCTACGGCCTTCGTGGTCAATTCCTACGCATCAAAACTCCAAACCGGTGTTAAATAGCCGATATACACCTCTCCGGACGATATTATTTCTTAATTAAATGTATCTTCAAGGTTAAATGCCGAACAATATATATTTGTTTTCGATGCATGATTTCGAACGAAAAAGCAAACGTGTTTCAACCAATATGTTTGGGTTGCAGCAAATGCTAATCAATATCACCATTGTTTATTATTTTTAACATTGTTTACAGGGTCATTGGCTTGAAAGATGTCGGTGTGTACAGACTACGAGCGGTACAGGTACATGTCTGATATAATTTTTATTCATCGACTTTTCTTTCGCAGCAAAAAAAGTAGATGCACTGTTACAGTCATGGCGGCGTTGCCGTTACCATCCGCAAACTTTATCCCAGATCATAACTTTTTATTTTTTGATGTATTGTCTTCATACTGTACTTGATTTTTTTTCTTTAACTGATTTGTTTAAAATGTATACTTCTTTACTCAAAAAAGTCGAGCGTTGCCCCGCCGGCGTTGGTTCTCGTTTGATGTATTTTCACAACAATCTTTATGATAGAGCTTAAACATGGACCTTCGCTCATAAATGACTGTGATTGAGAAGGTCAAATTATTCCATTTTTTTGGGCTGTTACTCGTTATTACTTAATGAATGAATTAACTTCAAGACGCAAGATTGTTTATAATAAGACATTTATGTATTATATCAAACTCAGAATGACTTTGACTTATGTATGACCTTTACCTTGAAGATCAAATCATTTAACTGTTAGTAATTATCGCTCTAATTGGCTGTTACTTTGTAATTTATGAATGAATTACTTGTTTACCTGTATGAAACAGCCTTTTCGAATATGTCTTTTGAAATACTGAGCTGATTTTGATTTTAAGCATTACAAAACATTGACTGAAGGTCAAATTATTGAGTTTGGTTAAGTTGTTAAATAATTTTGTTATTCATACACGGAGAACAAAACAACACTTTTGACTTAACGAATATTTTGAACAATTTTGATATAGCCATGACATTTAAATGGCCTTGACCGTCAATGTCATATGATTCTTGTTTGTTTGATCGCACCAACACAGTATAGGTCACATGGAGATATTCCAGCTTTACTGGTGGAGGAGGACCTCAGAAGCCCTTCCGTACATTACTTCAGGCACGAACGGGCACCTGCATAGAACAACAAACGTTCCGTAAGCTAGCTGGATAGCTTCCTCACATGCAAGAATCCAAAGTCCCTGTCGGGATTCTCACCCACAGCATTGAGGGGCAAATTATTCAATTTTGCTTATATTTTCTAACTTTGACATTTATTTATGAAAATGATTGTTACCTTGACAAAACAAAAGTGACTAGACAAAGTCTGTCTAGTCACTTAGAATTAAAAAGAAACGCATTTTTCTTTAAAATTTCCTTTTTAAAAATATTGTGCTTTTGATATTTAATAAAGTAAAAAGTCGAACGTTGCTCTCGCTTCAAAACGTAACCTTCATCAATTACATTCAATATCTTCAGGAGGAATGACATTTATTATAATCAAATGAAACACTCTCTGATAAGTTTACTCAATGTTAAGTATATAATTAGCTGTTGAATTACATGAAAGTAAATTATTGTTTAAAAGACCTGCAATAATGGCCCAATTCACTTTAAAATGTTCTATTGATATATGCATGTATGTTTCCATTGTGTTGTTATTTAAGCATTGTATTTTTATAACTAAAACGTTTTTATGGCCTTTGAATGGCAATGTTTTTCATTTGTTATACATAAATGCTTGTATTGATTACAATTGTTCATTTTTACCCACTGTAGTGTCATATTGGTTCTTCAATGGAAAGTGGTCATTGTACGTAATGTTGTTTCTTTACACTTATTCAAATCACCAGAGATACTGAACTACCAAAGATAATCTTTGACAAGATAATGAATGTTAACAAATGACGCCAATATTACTATTTTGATTGTGCTTATATAATAAAATGCGTTAAGTTCATGATGGATTTATTTTATACCTGGTGATTTGAGGCTCTAGTTTTGTTATTGTTCGAAACAATAGAATTATTTTCCGATTTTATTAAACTTAATATCATCTTAAAAACTAATAAGTTATCTCCTTCCCTTCTCATTTACTTACTACCAATTGTTGAGTTTTGTATTGAAAACTGTGGAAGAATGATAGATAATTGTGAATTAAAATGTTTGAATGAATGCATTAAAGCTGCATGCCTCCAGATGAGCAAAAATATTTCGATAAAATCATATCTGAGAAAAATGTACTACGATTGTAGAAAAGGTATAAAGGTTCACAATTCTATTAAAAATTCACATGTTATGTGAGATTAATTAACGTAATTGTGAGTTTTATAACTATATTTCTACTGTGTTACTAACGCAGTAAGGGCTATTTTGCATATTTTAACCTCGTTATAGTAATTCACATAGGTGGTCAGTGCCAATGATAATATGTATTCTTTTGGTAACTTTACAATATTATACTGTTAAATACATTTTCAAATTTTCAATAAAGTTAGCATGAATCTGGAGGCGTGCTGCTTTAAGGGTTTCAATAACAGTTTCTTAATATTTGATATTTATGTTAACACATTCATGTCGGACAGTTTTCGGTCTCATATACTCTATATTCAAATCTTTTTTGGTCATTTTAATTCACAAAATAATATTGTTTAACCACAGTATGCATGATTATGCATGAAGTTTTAGCACAATAGTTATTAATATCAAGACAATTTATTTTGACTGAATAAACGAATTTTCAGTTTAGTATTAAAACATTCTGTATTTTCTGTGCCCGTTTTCATATTAATTCCTTTATAATGCAAAATAATTCAAATTCTAATTACTTTAAACAGAGCAAACACTTGAATACTATTATGGTTTTGTCTCTGTGCTGTGTTCATTTCTATATGCTATAGAGATTGGTGAAACATGTGTCTTTCCAAAACACTAAAATTGCAGGTGTAACCAGGTTGCGGCTTTGAATGTAGATAAGTTAAATGATATAAAGCACATGACACTATTAGATCGATTTTTGTATGTAAAATAAACTGAAATTGAATACTGTTTAAAATTTGTAGATATAACAGTGACTGTAGATGATGAATGGACATGTAGACGATGTGATGATACTAGTGTTATCATTGCTCATCCAGCATCACTCGATGGTCCAGAAATTCAGGTAAGATAATGCTAGCTATGGGCAATGACCTTTATAGTTCAAACCGTATGCACATCTTCAATAATTTATTCACTTTCTGGAATGTATAATGCAATAGGGGATATTTCTTTGCATTGCATTAATTTAGTAATAAGCAAACAATTATATTGTCATGTAATGCAAACATGGATAAATGTCTTTTTTGTTTTCATTATTTGTACATGAGAAAGGACGATTTATAATATGTACACTATATATATACTGGAAGTATGTACATGTTTGAAATATTATTAAATGCTTCATTTGTTTTTGACAGTAACTCGAATTTGATGTAGTCATTAATGTTTACCACACACCGTGCCGATTTTGCGACTCCGTAAATATGGTATTGCACGGCCGTGCATATATTTTGACGTGACGTCATTAGCATTATAAAAACATAGTGTAAAGACGCGCTAAATGTTAGCGTTATTCTCTAGGCGCGTAAATGAAAATTGACTCTTATTTCACTTAAAACGGTCTTTATTATGGTATGTGATAAATAGAATATTAAATTCTTGTAAGTTCATTACTGAATTTATTGCACTCGTTGAATAAATTAATATTATTCAACTCATGCAATAAATTCAGTATTGAACTTACACTCGTTCAATATCCTCTATATATCGTACTTGTTTTAATGTCTTTTTCAATAACGTATTTTAATTAAAAGTAATATCGGTCTAAGCGGTGTTTATCAGCTATTTAACACTGATAAGGAGTTTTGATGCGTAGGAATTGACTACGAAGTTCCTACGACTACGAAGGCTGTATGCCAGAGTGGTTAATTTGTTGTTGTTGTTTTTTCATCAAAACGACATCATTTTGCGACTCCGTAAAAATAGTATTGCACGGACGTCATTAACTGTCATTATATTGAGTATGCAAAAATAGATCATTTATTTGTGTAGGTTCATTACTCTATTTATTGAACTCGTTGAATAAACAAAAATATTATGCTCGCCACAGACTTGCTTAATTTAATTTTGTTTCACTCTTTCAATTAATTCAGTCTTGAATACATACTCATTCAATACGACGTCACGTCATTAAGTTGGTTCCCAGTACTGTGCACGCTGGTATTTCACTGAAATAACGTAAGGGGCTTAAATTCAAAACAGTGAAATTATCAAAGTGGTAATTTCACTGTTTCAAACAGTGAAATTACCATTTTTATATCACTGATATATTTCTATAAACCACCGAAAAGCATGTAATAAATACTCATTCAATATAACGTGATCTTATTCTATCAGCTAATTTCATATGTAATGTATGACGATTCATTATAAAAAGTAAAAAAGAACTATCAATATATTAAAAAGAATAGCTGTCATACTTTCTTGAAATTTACGAACTGTTGACTTACTTTTATTCAAGTCCATCTTTGTTTTACTTTTAGAAATCAGCATATGTGTTGTATTATGAAACGCTGAAACGTCAAGATGCACATCTATTAATACGCAACATGCGCTCGGTGACCCTCACATTATCTGGTGACATAGAATTAATGGGCTTAGATTTGATGACTTTACTTCCAGGCGAGAAACTCAATGACCAGGTAAGCAGATCTTGAAAAAAGGGAATCTATATATCAACAGATCAAAGTCCTATTTGGCCGAATAAGATATTTCGATTAATAGATGACGAAAAATATGCACTACATGACTTTTTAAACGACTAATACAACAGCAACAAATACACAGTAATATGACTTATTATAATACATTGCAGAATAGTAATTTATAGTTAGATATATACTACTTCGTATGTAAACAGTGCTATATTTCGAAAACAAAATAAGTATCTGTTTAAGTATTTTTAACATGAAACAAAACATAGAGATCGGGACCTCATGATATAATAAAGGTGAGTGCAATAAGTTGCGCGTAAAATGAGTCAAAAATAACTTTAAACATCTTTAAAATTATGTTGTCAATAGAAATTTTGTTTATTTCTTTACAAGAAACATAACATGTATTATATACCTAAAAGTTTTAGTCAGGTTATTTGAAATTTTAGGAAGATTCGCGCTCTCAACGTCATGTCTGAATGTATTTAAACGCCTGTCATAACAATAAAACTGAGGAAATACATTGATTATGATTAGGTCATTTAGTTGTTACTAAAGGTATGTAATAAAAGCAAAATTACACGAACGTGCAATAACGATAGTTTGTATCGCCCTACGGGCTAGTGGGTAAACAAATTGACACCATTGACTAGTGCTGTGCAACACATCGGATTAGCACACTCATGATATATTTACTATATCACTCGTGAACATCATCAGTTATATTTTCACTCTTAACTACGCAAGTCGTAACGTGTTGCACGTGTTCACTCTAAGAACATTGTTAACCAGGTTTTCCGAAGGAAAAAAACTTGGTTATTAGATTGAGGTATGTCGGCGGGCGGATGGGCGGACGGGCGGGCGTAAACAATTTCTTCTGTGCGCAACTCCTTTTACATTTCTCAACGGATTTTGACCAAACGTTCACAAAAGCTTTGTCATCAAGTTCCCTGGCGCATATTTTCGGGGTTTTGCGATCGGATAATATTTGACCTAATTATGGCCCTTTGTTTTTTTCTTTATATAAATTATATAGTGACCAATTTCTTTCGTGCGCAACTCCTCCTAAATTTCTCAACGGATTTTGACCAAACGTTCACAAAAGCTTTGTCATCAAGTGCCCTGGTGCATGTTTTCGGGGTTTTGCGATCGGATAATATTTGACCTAATTATGGCCCTTTGTTTTTTTTCTTTATATAAATTATATAATGACCAATTTCTTTCGTGCGCAACTCCTCCTACATTTCTCAACGGATTTTGACCAAACGTTCACAAAAGCTTTGTCATCAAGTGCCCTGGCGCATATTTTCGGGGTTTTGCGATCGGATAATATTTGACCTAATTATGGCCCTTTGTTTTTTTCTTTATATAAATTATATAATGACCAATTTCTTTCGTGTGCAACTCCTCCTACATTTCTCAACGGATTTTGATAAAATTTTCACAGAAGCCTTGTTATCAAGTGCCCTGGTGTGTATTGTTGGGGTTTTGCGATCGGATAATATTTGACCTAATTATGGCCCTTTGTTTTTTTCTTTATATAAATTATATAATGACCAATTTCTTTCGTGCGCAACTCCTCCTAAATTTCTCAACGGATTTTGATAAAACTTTCACAGAAGCCTTGTTATCAAGTGCCCTGGTGTGTATTGTTGGGGTTTTGCGATCGGATAATATTTGACCTAATTATGGCCCTTTGGGTTTTTCCTTATACAGAATATATAGTGAACACTTCTTCTGTGGCAATTCCTCCTACATTATTCATGTTTTACATTGCACATAGTTACATTGTTTTTTTTGCTTGTATTTGTATTTCAAATACAACATATTTATCTACAATGGTGATAATTGAAAACCTGGTTTTGTGGCATTGCCATGTTTCTTGTTTCTATCTTAAATGCAAAACAAACAATTATCCTCTTCGTAATAGCGATAAATGAATTCATTCTTTCAGGTGTTAAATGCCTATATGTCAATAATATCAAAGAAGTTTCCAAATGTTGCAGCCTTAGATATCTTCTTTTCCCAATGCCTGGTATCAGGAAGAGATCCTCAAAAATTTGTAAAAAAAGGCATGTTTCAGCGACAAAGTGTCCTAGTGCCATTTATCTACGAAGGTCATTGGACACTTTTGGTAAGTTTAAGTTTTCTTTATCTAAAAATAGGCCCTTTTCATCGGTTTCTTTGCAGTTAAATGCAGTTGCATAACTTTATGTAGGATACAAATGCGAAAACTGTTTCAGCTAGGAAAAAACCATATTGAACCTGAAATATTTTATTCATTTCATATCAAAAAGAAAATTCCATATCTTTACTCAGAATGATAGATCACTACTCAGATCCTTTTATAGTTACAATTATTTTAACCTTGTGGTATTTTGTTAACAAATAGTCTGAGGTGAAATTCTTATTTTATCAACTAATATAATACATGTTGTATTTTGAAATATACAGGTTAGGGATCTTTTTGTTACACTTTAAACTTACCTTTGCCAAATATATACATGTAACAAATTTTCATTCTTTGCTTGATTATTTTAGGTCATCCGCCCTACCCACCGTACCATTTATGTTTTTGATTCTGCAAATGGTAGTAAAGAGCCTGTCAACCTTCTTGTGTAAGTGATACAATTTGTTAATAAATTTAGATATTTATAACTTTACAAATAAAAATAAGTCAGCATAAAGAAAAACAAGTTTTATCATACGAGTACTTTATAATGTTGGGAAGAGATTAAAAATTTATTTATGATTATTCTTAGGGATTAGCTTGTATTTCGAGCTCGAATTAAAACAGAGGTAATGTTACAGTCACTTCGGCGTTGCCGGTGCCGTAAGCACACATTAACCTTGATCATAACGTTTTAACTTCTTGGTATTTTGTCTCCATTCTTACTAACAACAACCCTTAGTACAAGAAAAAGATTTCTCCTGGACCTAAAGAATTATTCAAATTGTAGAAAAATGACCCAAAATGAAAAACGTTTAAACGCTTTTCACTCAGATATAACTAAGAAAAGCATAAAAATACGATTTTCATTTTATTTCAAAATATATTTCTTAACTATCTTTGCAAATATTTCTGTTTAAAGTATCCCAGCCAATTTAAGTAAGAAATTCAAATGTTATGTTTTAGGCTTTTAAACCTCAGTGGAGTCCCTTTAAAATTGTGTAATAAAAAGGAAAATAAGTATTCGATACAAATATAGGATCATGCTATAACTGTTTTAAAATAAAAGTAAGAGTGAATAAAACGTTATGATTTTGTTGACGTCCTTAACATTTTCCTGACATTTAAACTTGAACAAAGCAAAAATTGCCACCAAACAAACATGTTGAATAATTTTGTTGTAACTTTGACCTTCAGTTCACCATCAATTTCAAGGTAAATTAATGAAATTCTTTTGTTTTTATCTGAAGTTTGATATAACTTTTTTCAATATATTTTTTAACTTCATCTTTTAGGTCAGGACCTTCATGTCAATGTATATCAAACTCATATTGACATTGACACATTTATGACCTTGTCCTTGATGGCCAAATTCTCATATTTTCACTGATAATCGCCACAATGGTCCGTAACTTTGTAATTAATCAATTGCTAATTTTCATACTTTGACAAAACGACCGTTTGCATTGAAAAGACATACTAAAAGGTTAAACTGATCTTGACCTTAAGTTGACCTTGGCAGTCAAGAACAAAATATTGAATTTCTGTTAAGTTGTCATAATTTAGTTATTTATTTACGGGTTTGATTCACATGTGATAAAAACAACATTTGTGACCATGATATGGAATAATTAATGTATGACCTTAAAATGACATTGACAGACAAATGGTTGAATTTTGATTATATTTTCATTTGGCATTTATTTATGGAAAGGATTTATTCTTGGGACAAAACAACAAGTGTAACATTTATCACCATTAGAAAAAAGAAAAACTAATCTTATTTCTAAATATTTGTTTAATCCGTTTATTTGTTTGCTTTTAGTAAAAGTAAAAAAGTCGAGCATTGCCCCCGCCTTGCGGTGGCCCTTGTTTATCATTAAACTTTATTTGGACAGAGCATAAACTAAAACGAAAAAGATAAATGTATTGGGAAGGTAAAATACATCATTACAGTACCTTTTTTTACACAGGAAATACTTGCAAGAACGAGTTGGTGTTCAGTACAAAGCTAGTACTATCAAGGTATGTTAATATATATATATTTAACAATGTAAGCTATGTACTGAGGTTTTGTCATTATCCTCTGGTCAGAATTGGCATTTTTTGTCAAGCTCATTTTCTCAATATCGATCTATAGAAAAACATTTTCTACGAGCAGGATTTTTTCTTCTACTTATACCCAATTTTTACTTTTGGGTTGACTGATTTGTAAGGTAGATTTCAAAAAAAACGTATGAAAGAAGGTCATTCTCAAATTTGATATTCATAAGTTTGTGCTAATGTGTGTCGGGGTATTCCTTAAAGGCATGTGAGTAATAGCTGTACAATGCAAACAGTAAAATCAATTACAGCCATCATCCTGAAGAATAATTAAATAATCCAGCGTTTGTTTGAGTCCTCATTTTCCAAATTCCTAGACGCTTATTGAATATACAAATCTGTCATCAATTGATTGCGTTCTGTAACAATCCAAGAATACGTTATCTTTCTTATGATAGATATAAAAGTTATCAAGTCAAAATGACTTTTGTTCTTTTTTCTTGAGGAATAAGCAGTTAAAACAAAAATCGTAGTCGTTGGGGGGGGGGGGGGGGGGGTAGCCTAATATTTTAAGGGGCTATTTCACAAAAAAGAGTTCAGCCAAGTGTAACTTTTCAACATCTAAATGATAAAAACTCGCGATCAGTAAAATAAAATATATTGACCTTTCGAAAACGTAGCTTAATCCCGTTTTCCGGTACGTAACGGATTTAGGTCTGGGGAATTACACATTATGAAGTACATAAAAATCTTACATGGTATTTTTGTTTTTCTATCATTCTTTTACCATTTAAGATGAAAAAATGAAAATTATCAATGTTCCTTTAATATCTATTGCACATTTTTCATTTATATAAATTGTTTATAATGAAAATAAATAAAATTAAAACAGTCGTAATAAATATAGAAAATTTCTGGCAAACCTGTGTAATTACTTTATTTTCTTTGTATGGATTTATATATTCAATGATATCTTTGATAATCACATAATCCGCGGCGCAGGAGTGAATAAATCCATTTGATAAAAACGATATTACACTATTGTAATAACACTTTGACGTGACGTCATTTGCGCTGTATTGAAACATAGCGTAAAAGCGCGCTAATGTTAGAGTTACACTACAACCGCGTCATTGAAAAATTGTAAATTTTAACAGTTTTCTGTTCTCATATTATATATGTGATAAAAGAATGTTATAATTATTAGTGTATATTCAATACTAAATGTATTTAACTAAATTTAGTATTCAACTACACTCATTTGATGTCCTCTATTTATTTCGTTACAAAGAAATAACTGTTTCATTTCACTATAAACATAGAGTTAGTTATTACACTCCATTTGGGCTGTGTACAGAACGTACCGGAAACGGCGTTTAACTAGGTTTTCGAAATCGTGAATTATCGCCATTTAAACTTGACCTTTGTACTTATTTTCTAAGCTCAAGACTTCCTTTATTGGTGAAGTAGTCTGAAATTGAGGTTACTAGTGTGGCGAACAGATTATAATATTAAAGTTAACATATAAGGGAATTTCATTTCAACATGGTTTTCAACAGATCGAGCTACTGATTAGAATACTGTTTATAAAGCTCACTCGATGAAATGAAATTTCATTTTACTCACACTCACAAATAAATATCCTCTATCTAGCTTTTATTTGTTAAATGCATCATGTTATAGAAGGCTTTATTTTTTTAACTTTAGAATTTACCAAAGCAGACGAACTGTAACGATTGTGGAGTATTTGTGTGCCAATTTGCTCTCGCCATGGCCAGCAAAACAATGATAAATTTCAGTCATGTATGTATCTTTATATCAGATCTTTTTAGGAAATAATAGCGCTCAAAAACATCACTTTTTGGAGTTCGGATACGACGAATTATATATAAGATATAATGATGCGCATCCAAACAAGAAACATTGATGTTATCAAGCGATCAAATCAGCTATTTGGATAAATTATTTCGATTCTAACACGACATCAACAAATAAATGCTGCCGTACCTGATATTAAGCAAAATGGCGCCTGATTTGTTTCCGTACTTATTTTCAGGCGTCATATTTTTTAGTGTTACGTCACATGTATGTATAATGATTACGTCAAATATCTGAATATATCTAGAACGTCAACTGTGACTTTGTTGCATAATAACACATACTTTCGGTTCGTGAAAAATGCGGGTCGTGTTAGAATAAATTACACATCCCATCTATATGGACGTTAAACAAATGTAATGTAGGTTTAATGTAATGAAGAATTCAGTTAAAAAGGTGTGAAACAAGTCGATCTCATTATATTCTTAAAATGAAAATAGATTTTGACATAAATTTTTATAGAAATATGCAAAGGTGTTAGCTCTTGTAAATACACCTTCTAAAGAGCGTAATGAAGTTTATGCATATTGCTTATAAATGTGTGAAAATAAAAAAGGGATTAAAGGTATATTGTTTTTTCGGTTTCTTTATTCTTAAAAGTTCTTTTTCTTTTTAATTGTAGACCTTTCATTTATTTTGAAATACCAGCGAAATTTAAAAGCAATTAACGGATTTATCAATCTGTTTCAGACAAAGATCGGGTACTTCCGAAAGAAGATGTTGTTTGAGTGCCTGGCATCAACTCTTTTATGAGATGAGCATAGATGAAGAAATGTATATATAGAAACATATTCATATCGACGTGATATCTTAATATGTTCTGTAAAAAAAGCAAAAAAGCAGTGATAATAAAGTGTAATAAAGTTTCTGTGTCTTTTCGTATTTTAATAAAGATGTTCTAAGAAAAATGAATTTTACAAACATATATATATTTATCCATTCTATTGATTTTCACCCCTATTTTATTCTTAATGTTCATTAAAACAAACTATTGCACTGAGAGCTCGATAGACATTTGACCATCAAAGTAGGATTTGGATATGGACAAAAATGAATGAGCCGTTACTTCAGATCAAGTTTAAACCCATTCATGATAGATGCATACGCCTGCATCATGCATGATGATAGATACAAGGCTTGAAATTGTAAAAAGGCCTGAAATAGTCTAAATAAGTGTCACTGGTGTATGTCTGAACGTTTTCATATCTGTACTATCCTTAATTTTCATATGGCTGTTAGGCTCCTAACTTCACGAATTTCGAAGCGTCAGATTGAAAAAAAACAAACTTTTTTTTTGAAGCGTCAGATTGAAAAAAAAACACTTTTTTTCAGCTCACCTGTCACAAAGTGACATGGTGAGCTTTTGTGATCGCTTTTCGTCCGGCGTCCGTCCGTCCATAAATTTTTACTTTAAACGACATCTCCTCATAAACGACTAAGCCAATTTCATCCAAACTTCACAGGAATGTTCCTTTGGTAGTCAACTTTTAACAATTGTTCAAAGAATTTAATTCCAAGCAGAACTCTGGTTGCCATGGCAACCAAAAGAAAAAAATTAAAATATCTTCTCTTAGAGAACTGAAATAACTAGAGCTGAAATATTTTGCTTGCCATCTAATCAGTGTCTACCAAGTTTGTTCAAATGAATGCCCTGGGGTTAAAATTGTCCCCGCCCCGGGGATCATAGATTTTCCAAGAGGGGGTCATTGTTTTTCCCTATATCTCATTGTGTATAGTAAAAACTTAAAAAAATCTTCTTACAGCTAGAGCTTAGATATTTATCATAAATCATTTTCAAATGGGTGTCTACGAAGTTTGTTCTAATAAAAGCCCCTGGATTAAAATTACCCCCGAGCCGGGAACCTATATACAGGTGAGCGATTTCAGGGCCATCAAGGCCGACTTGCTTAAATAAGGATCGCGATATTGGAATAAGACGTGGAATAGTCTAAGTATGTACTTCCAATTCATTTCCGATGGTTGACATGTTTATTTTATCCTCCGCTTTCTTTAGGCTGCCAGGCTGCTAACTTCACAAATTTCAAAGATGTCAAAAAAAAAAGTTCAGTATTAAAAAAAAAAAGTTCGCGATACTAAAAAAAGACGTGGAATAGTCTAAGTATGTGCTATTTATGTATGTATGTATCTATCTATGTACATGTTTGTACTATTCTTAGTTTTCTTTAGGCTGCCAGGCTGTTAGGCTGCTCAAGTTCAATATTTAAAAAAATTAAGTTGGCGATACTGAAAAAAGACGTGGAATAGTCTAAGTATGTGCTACCGACTCATTTCCGTCGGTTTTCATGTTTGTATTATCCGTAGTTTTCTTTAGGCTGCCAGGCTGCTAGGCTGCTAGGCTGCCAGGCTGCTAGGCTGCTAGGCTGCCAGGCTGCTAGGCCAGGCTGCTAGGCTGCCAGGTTTGTTAGGCTGATAGCTTCACAAATTTCGAAGAGTAAAGAAAAAAGGAAAGTTCAATATTTTAAAAAAGATAAGTTGGCGATACTGAAAAAAGACGTGGAATAGTCTAAGTATGTGCTACCGACTCATTTCCGTCGGTTTTCATGTTTGAATTATCCGTACTTACTTTTCTTTAGGCTGCTAGGCTGCTAGGCTGCCAGCTGCTAGGCTGCTAACTTCAAATTTCGAAGCGTCAGAATGAAAAAAATATGTTACGATAAAGTTCAACATCTTAAAAAATAAAGATCACGATATTGAAAAAGGCGTGGAATGATCTAAAGAAGTGCTGCTAATGTATTTCCGACGATTTTCATGTTTGTACTATTCTTAGTTTTATTTAGGCTGCCAGGCTGCTAGGCTGCTCAAATTTCGAAGAGTAAAATAAAAAAAAAGCAAAGTTCAATATTTAAAAAAATTAAGTTGGCGATACTGAAAAAAGACGTGGAATAGTCTAAGTATGTGCTACCGACTCATTTCCGTCGGTTTTCATGTTTGTATTATCCGTAGTTTTCTTTAGGCTGCCAGGCTGCTAGGCTGCTAGGCTGCCAGGCTGCTAGGCTGCCAGGCTGCTAGGCTGCCAGGTTGTTAGGCTGATAGCTTCACAAATTTCGAAGAGTAAAGAAAAAAAGCAAAGTTCAATATTTAAAAAGATAAGTTGGCGATACTGAAAAAAGACGTGGAATAGTCTAAGTATGTGCTACCGACTCATTTCCGTCGGTTTTCATGTTTGTATTATCCGTAGTTTTCTTTAGGCTGTTAGGCTGCCAGGCTGCTAGGCTGCTAGGCTGCCAGGCTGCTAGGCTGCTAGGCTGCTAGGCTGCTAACTTCAAATTTCGAAGCGTCAGAATGAAAAAAATATGTTACGATAAAGTTCAACATCTTAAAAAATAAATATCACGATATTGAAAAAGGCGTGGAATGATCTAAAGAAGTGCTGCTAATGTATTTCCGACGGTTTTCATGTTTGTACTATTCTTAGTTTTTATTTAGGCTGCCAGGCTGCTAGGCTGCTAGGCTGCTCAAATTTCGAAGAGTAAAATAAAAAAAAAAGCAAAGTTTCAATATTTAAAAAAATTAAGTTGGCGATACTGAAAAAAACGTGGAATAGTCTAAGTATGTGCTACCGACTCATTTCCGTCGGTTTTCATGTTTGTATTATCCGTAGTTTTCTTTAGGCTGCCAGGCTGCTAGGCTGCAGGCTGCCTAGGCTGCTAGGCTGCTAGGCTGCTAGGCTGCCAGGCTGCTAGGCTGCCAGGGTTGTTAGGCTGATAGCTTCACAAATTTCGAAGAGTAAAGAAAAAAAGCAAAGTTCAATATTTAAAAAAGATAAGTTGGCGATACTGAAAAAAGACGTGGAATAGTCTAAGTATGTGCTACCAACTCATTTCCGTCGGTTTTCATGTTTGTATTATCCGTAGTTTTCTTTAGGCTGTTAGGCTGCCAGGCTGCTAGGCTGCTAGGCTGCCAGGCTGCTAGGCTGCTAGGCTGCTAGGCTGCTAACTTCAAATTTCGAAGCGTCAGAATGAAAAAAATATGTTACGATAAAGTTCAACATCTTAAAAAATAAAGATCACGATATTGAAAAAGGCGTGGAATGATCTAAAGAAGTGCTGCTAATGTATTTCCGACGGTTTTCATGTTTGTACTATTCTTAGTTTTATTTAGGCTGCCAGGCTGCTAGGCTGCTAGGCTGCTCAAATTTCGAAGAGTAAAATAAAAAAAAAAAGCAAAGTTCAATATTTAAAAAAAATTAAGTTGGCGATACTGAAAAAAGACGTGGAAAAGTCTAAGTATGTGCTACCGACTCATTTCCGTCGGTTTTCATGTTTGTATTATCCGTAGTTTTCTTTAGGCTGCCAGGCTGCTAGGCTGCTAGGCTGCCAGGCTGCTAGGCTGCTAGGCTGCCAGGCTGCTAGGCTGCCAGGCTGCTAGGCTGCCAGGTTGTTAGGCTGATAGCTTCACAAATTTCGAAGAGTAAAGAAAAAAAGCAAAGTTCAATATTTAAAAAAAGATAAGTTGGCGATACTGAAAAAAAGACGTGGAATAGTCTAAGTATGTGCTACCGACTCATTTCCGTCGGTTTTCATGTTTGAATTATCCGTACTTTTCTTTAGGCTGTTAGGCTGCTAGGCTGCTAGGCTGCCAGGCTGCTAGGCTGCTAACTTCAAATTTCGAAGCGTCAGAATGAAAAAAATATGTTACGATAAAGTTCAACATCTTAAAAAATAAAGATCACGATATTGAAAAAGGCGTGGAATGATCTAAAGAAGTGCTGCTAATGTATTTCCGACGGTTTTCATGTTTGTACTATTCTTAGTTTTATTTAGGCTGCCAGGCTGCTAGGCTGCTAGGCTGCTCAAATTTCGAAGAGTAAAATAAGAAAAAAAGCAAAGTTCAATATTTAAAAAAAATAAGTTGGCGATACTGAAAAAAGACGTGGAATAGTCTAAGTATGTGCTACCGACTCATTTCCGTCGGTTTTCATGTTTGTATTATCCGTAGTTTTCTTTAGGCTGCCAGGCTGCTAGGCTGCTAGGCTGCCCAGGCTGCTAGGCTGCTAGGCTGCCAGGCTGCTAGGCTGCTAGGCTGCCAGGTTGTTAGGCTGATAGCTTCACAAATTTCGAAGAGTAAAGAAAAAAAGCAAAGTTCAATATTTAAAAAAGATAAGTTGGCGATACTGAAAAAAGACGTGGAATAGTCTAAGTATGTGCTACCGACTCATTTCCGTCGGTTTTCATGTTTGTATTATTATCCGTAGTTTCTTTAGGCTGTTAGGCTGCCAGGCTGCTAGGCTGCTAGGCTGCCAGGCTGCTAGGCTGCTAGGCTGCTAGGCTGCTAACTTCAAATTTCGAAGCGTCAGAATGAAAAAAAAATATGTTACGATAAAGTTCAACATCTTAAAAATAAAGATCACGATATTGAAAAAGGCGTGGAATGATCTAAAGAAGTGCTGCTAATGTATTTCCAACGTTTTCATGTTTGTACTATTCTTAGTTTTATTTAGGCTGCTAGGCTGCTCAAATTTCGAAGAGGAAAAAAAAAAAAAAGCAAAGTTCAATATTTAAAAAAATTAAGTTGGAGATACTGAAAAAAGACGTGGAATAGTCTAAGTATGTGCTACCGACTCATTTCCGTCGGTTTTCATATTTGTATTATCCGTAGTTTTCTTTAGGCTGTTAGGCTGCCAGGCTGCCAGGCTGCTAGGCTGCTAGGCTGCCAGGCTGCTAGGCTGCTAACTTCAAATTTCGAAGCGTCAGAATGAAAAAAATATGTTACGATAAAGTTCAACATCTTAAAAAATAAAGATCACGATATTGAAAAAGGCGTGGAATGATCTAAAGAAGTGCTACTAATGTATTTCAGACGGTTTTCATGTATGTACTATTCTTAGTTTTCTTTTAGGCTGCTA